ACCAATTTACCAGAACAAGATCTATTTCCTTAAACAGTAGCAAAGACTGTCAAAATTAACTGTACAATTAGCATACACCAAAAGTCAATCCTCTGAGTAAGATTCTTGGACAAAACCTCAACTCCCATTCTTTTTCCTTGCAAAACTAAAAATTAAGTCATATGCATGGACAACTGCAAGAGATCAGAATCTGCTATTTGCTTTCTACCCCAAAAAAATCTGGTTGTGTGACTTAAGGTATATACAACAGGCATGACCTAATCAGAAAGATCAGCAATACTTGAACTGAAAGCCAGCTACTCAACTTAGCTCAACACCCTGAAAGTCAGAGGTTTAGGCATCCCTTATCACTGAGAAGTGCAACCTCAAGATTATTCCATAATTACTAATTGTCTTCTGGCAACTTGTACCATCACACCTTGCAATACAACATACAGAGCTTTTGGTGATGAAAGAATAAATAAATAAATACACACAAAATGTATGAGACATTCTGAGAGCAGTGTTTATTTGCCTGCAAGAGAAGACCATGGATTGGTCATGACTGGTTACTCAAAACTGATTCCTTTCATTAAAAGAATTAATACTACACAAGTTTTATAGCACATGCTAAGAAAGGAATTTGTTGTCAGTCACATTCACACCGATTTCATTCCTCACCTGTGTCACTGATATACTGGATAATAGCAACCAACTTATTTCACTTCTAAGCCCAAGAGTGACATAGAAACCTTACTAAGCCATTTAGCAAATGGCCTTCAAGATGCACTATTAGATTCATTCAATGACTGAAATCCTGTTCTGACAGTTACCTGCTTCTTAAAAACACCTTTTACTTTCCTCTGCCCTTTTACCTTTCCTTCTGTAGTTAGAAATCATGTGGGAGATACCAAGAATTTGAGCAATTAAGACAGGAAGTTGTCCACCATTAGTAATGAGCTTTACTATTTAAGTTTGCTAGTAGCCTAATGTAAATGAAAGATCACACATGAAGGCAAATATGCAGATTATAACTTTACCATTAATTACCACAGTTAATGTGTACTGCTTTGCATCAAATTGTAACTCCACTTCAAAATCTTTCTACTATAGCAGAAAACACCTCAGAACTCCCAACCATGCTAAAAAGTGTATTTCCAAACAGATACCAAAGCCCTATTCGGAGAGAACAGCCACCAGTAACTCACATATCCAAGGCTTTACCTTGATACCACTGAGTCATCAGCACAAATCACACTTACACCAGCTAGGAAACTGTAGGACATACATCAAGCACATGCAGAGGGTTTAACCTAACAAAGAACTGTGTTTCAGACTGTCTGTCTACACAGATTGTAACTCAAGAACTCATTCCCTTATTTCTCTGGAATAAAAAATGCTTCAATTTCCAAAATTCTAGTCTATCCCAATGATTTCTAAAATGGATTCATACATCAACAGAAAATAATTAAATTAATTCCAACTGGAAGCATTTCTGTACAGATGGCATCAAGTATTTATCCACCCATCTTGCTGTTAAATATTAACATCTCCTTTTCAATAAAAGGGGAAGGGCATACATTGAAGCTGCAAATTTCTATGTGGAGTTAGTTATTTCAGTGATGGGGGAAGAAATTGAATAAAAAATAAAAAATATATGGATCATTTTTCTCATTGCTTTGCTTCCTTGGTACAAGCTGCACTCTACATCTCAGGCAGGACTTACCCCCTCATACAAGAGCTGGTTAATGCTTGCTGCTTGCTTGACTGACATCTTCCATTTAACCACAACAAGCTGAGGTAAGAATCACTCATTAATCAACACTTCAATTTTGAAGTTTTACATATTTACAGATAGAAAAGTTTTGACCTCTGCTTCACAAGCACCCAGCAGGCAGATGCTGGAAAAGCTACCCAAGAGCAGCACAAAGACACAGGCTTTAGGATGGCATTAGGAAAAATCAACACTGGCAGCAGAAGGAAAGGTAAGGAAGAAGTGCTCTCTGTGTTCAGTGGAACAAGTCACCTGTTAATAAAGTACAGGGAAAAGGATGACATGTACCTTTTTTAGCCCTAGTTTTCACTATCAAGGTCCACTCAGAAGCCTTCTAGACCCCCAAGCCCAGTAGGAGTCTGCTGGACTAAGAAGTTCCCTCCAAAAGAGAAAGATGAAGTTTGGAAGCACTTCAGGAAATCGGAAACATACTATCTCTGTAACCAGATGGGCTGTATCTAAGAATCCTGAGGGAGCTGGCCAATGTAGCTGAAATACCACACTCCACCACTTTTTGAAAGGCAATGGGACTGTGAAAGGTTCCTTCTGACCAGAAAAAAGGCAAATATCACAACCAATTTCAAGAGCAAGAAGGAGGATCCAGGCTACTACAGATCAGCCAGCCTAATCTAAGCCTGTGAGAGGAGAACAGAGCAAATCCTCTTGGAAGGCATCCCTCTGCTCAAGAAGCACAAGATGACAGGGAATGGTTAGCATGGACTTACCAAGGACAACTGATGCCTGATGAACACAAAAGCTTACTGCAAGGAGACAACTGGCTTAGCAGATAATGGAAGAGCACTGAACACAGAAGGCCATTATCAACAGTCCCCCACAGAATCTCTACAACCAAACTGGTGAGACAGGCTTTGGATAAGTGAGGTGTTTGGGAATCTGCCTGGATTGCTGAGCTGAAAGAACAGCCACCAGCTGTACCAAGTTGCATCCAAGCAGTTGCAGTCACATCCCCTGGGGATCACCTCTGAAACCAGCGGTACCACCAATGTCTTTATTAATCATCTAGATCATGGGACAGGCTGCATCCTCAGTAAGTTTCCAATGACACCAAAGCGGGAGGCGTGGTCAGCTCCTACTCAGAGGGACCGGGACAGGCTAGAGAAAGGCACTAGCAAGACCTTGTGAAGTTCAGTGAAGGCAAGTGCTGCATCCTGTATCAGTGACAGAACAACCTCCCAAGACAAGATGGGCTGAACACAAACAAGATAAAATGTGACTTTTTCAGAAAAGTATTTGGAGATCCCAGCAGACAAAATTTTGGAAACAAGTCACCAGCACATCATGATAGCAAAGGCAGCTGAGCGCAGCGTGGGCTGTTTGCAGGAGTCCAGGCAGCAGGTCCAGGGAAGGATGAGTCCCCTCTGTTCAGCACCATGTTTACAGTGCAGCCAGGTTTGGGCTCCCCGGTGCAGGACTCACACAGACACTCTGGAGCATGTCCAGTGGCCAGGCTGGCCAGATGGCAGCAGCACATGGTGTACAATGAGAGGCTGATGGAACTGAGTTTGCACAATCTGGTCAAGAAAAGAGCTCTACAGAATCCTTATTACAGTCAGCTCTCTAGTGAAAGAGAGACCTGGACTCTTCAAGATGATGGACACTGACATGATAAGAAGCAACAGACACAAACTGGAAAGTAAATTTCAACTATCTTAAAGGGAGAGAGGAAAGAAAAAAATCACTGAGTGCAGTCAAATGTGGAAACAGATTACCTAGAAAGGTGTTAAAGGCTGGAACAATCTTATCTAAATTATTCCTCCTTTAATATATGCAGGAAGTTGGATTGGATGACCTCCAGAAGCCACTTCCAACCTAAATGACTCTGTTTGAAGAATTTACTCTCTGACGTGCCAATTATTCTATATTAAAAACTTTCTTTCAGCAGGTTTTGCATCAGGTTTATTACTTGTTATCATGTATTTCAAAATTCCAATTCTCCTGTTCATACAGTAAGTCTACAGACAGTGTTGTACATAGATATGTACATATCTCTTATCTTTTTGTCATTGCAACTTCTTCCCTTTCTACTGCTGCACTTCCCCTTCAACCAGGGAACATGTTTTCAGCATCAGAAAAACTGTGCACTTTCAAGCTTACTTGATCTAAAAAGCCCCACACCTTCTTCAATATCCTAACTCATGATACAGGGATGATACGAGCAGGAAAGCAGAGGGCTGTGAGCCATCTCATTTTGTGGCAAAAACTTTTTCCCTCTGTCCACTCAGACACATTAGAAAGACAGATGTCTTTGCTACTCTTTCCAAAGAGTAAGAAATATTCCACAATAGACACAATCTAACAGATATATTCTACAAGCGCCTTACCTCTCAGAGCAATCTATTTTACTAAGCAGATTTTGGAACCCCATTTATGTATTTATGTTCTGTTTACAAACACCCACACCCAACAAACTAGTTTATCAGCTTCACAAAGTCCCCCCTGGAAACACTCCTGACAGCAGATTTAAATAAGCACCTTAAAAGCCACAGAGGTTTTCTAATAATCTACACATTGGTTTTGTTTCTGTTTAAAGTTAAGAATACAGGTAAAGTGTGACGTAAATAATTTTAAAACATGTCAGTCTTTGTTTATGGACTAAGATTCTGTTAAAGAAAGAATCCCTTCAGTGATCCAGGTTACAATAATGGCTCTTCTGACAGCTGTACCAGTATAACAGAGTAAGATTGAGACTGGAACAAACTGCCAAAGATATGAATTTCAAAAAACATCTGAGCAAAATACACTTGAAAACAACTTAACCTTCACTAAAAGGACACCTCCAGGAAGCTCAATGTTAATGCCTGAAAGGTGCATTTTAATTCTCACTTCATAGGTCATGATTAAAATTCATGGGGAGAATCTGAGAATTATTACAGGAATGATTAGTGTACCTGGTGGCCTAAAGAGAAAACAAACCTTCCATGGTGTATTTCCACACATTTTTGCAACCTTTTTGTTAAAAGCTCTTTTTTTTTGATAGCAAGATCAAGAGTGCCAATAAAACCTATCAGTCCACCGCATGCATAAAATGAGTATAATCCCATGACAAATTAATCTAGACTAGAAATCAAAAAGTGTGTAATTAGTAAGGTCAGTCAAGTTTGAAATAGCCTTCCTATTACAGCAGAGGTAATAGCCATATACAACTAATTATTTTTAAATTAGAGCTGAATGAATTTACAAAACCCCCTAACAATGCAGAGATCATTCTCTGAAATTAAGAACTCACCAAAAAGTTCAGAGAGCAGAACAGACGAACAGGAGAGAGAAGAAGAAAACCACAGCAGTTTCTGTGGGCCCATGGAAGAACAGAGACATAGAGATGGCTCTTGAGATCATTTAATGCTGTCAGAAGTAAACAAAAAGTTACACCATGGCTTCATAATCAATCTAAGACAGTACTGGCAGAAAAAAAGAGTCACCACCCTTACTATCATTGTTACCTTCACCACAAGCAGCTTAAGTCAATCAAACTCACAATGTAGCTTCCTCTAGCAGCACTGGTTTCTGCCATGTACCTTACTGACCATAAAGCCAGCTCCCTGGAAGGAGCATCACAACACCTGTGATTGTTCCACTCTCTCCCCTACCAACACTTGACTTGCTCCTCTGGACTGAGCCAATGTCCACATGGCCAGGCAAGTGAGCTGGGTCAGGAAGTTGTTGTAATCAGAGTACCTCAGGGAACAAAAAAAAAAAAAAAAAAAAAAAAAAAAAAAGAAGTAGAAGCACATCTTTTTAACCAGATTAGTTCTTTTTTTTACAGGAAGTGTCCTGGCTGTGGAAGTCCCTTTGATGAGAGAAGGGAAGGAGCAGCTACAACTCGGACTGTCTTGAAATACTAGGGGATACACCACAAACACAAGAGCCACATTATAAATTAAAATTTAAATTATAATAAATATAAATATATAAGTAAAAAATTTTGCAATCCCCTTACTAACCACCAAATCTTAATCTGTGAATCACTTTTTAAAAGATGGAATGCTATTTTTAACCAAGCAATATATTTCACTGTAACCACTTTAAAGCAAAGAGTGCAGAGCAATTTTTACAGCCAAGTTGTTCACAGCCCCAGAGTCCTTTCAGAAAAAAGCAGTTCTTTTAAAAATCAAATAAATAAAACAAAACAAGCCCAGCATGATTTCCCACCTCTGCCTAAAAGAGAAGGAAGCAGTGGAAGGCTCTGTCACTCTCTGAGCTCTGGGGTTCATCAGCTGGTGCTGGCTCCCCTCTGGACACTCACTGGCAGCATTCTTACAACGCTGTAGTCAATTTGTGCTTACTGTAACTGTATTTTGAGTATTTTCAAGTTTAAACTATAAAAAAAGTTATTAATAATATAATTATTACACTCACTGGCAGCATTCTTACAACACTGGAGTCAATTTGTGCTTACTGTAACTGTATTTGTAGTCTTTTCAAGTTTAAACTACAAAGTTATTAATCATATAATTATTACCATCTAACCCACATAAACAGAGTTAGCTACAATCCTAGTTAAAACCTAGGCAGAGGCATAATTTGCAGAATCAACCTCAGTAATGTTTAGTAAACCTTCATACAATCTGGAGCCAGACTGGTCTGACAGGCAGTCAAGATTTGGTCTATATCATAAGAGATTTGGTTAAATAAAGTCAGAGTACCTTTTCTGCATTTAAAGGGATAACAAAATGTTGCCTGTATGAGTCAACAAGATGTCTCTCTGGAAACTGAAAGCACACCTGCCTTTCTGAAAGTTCTAGCTGAAAAACAACGTAGTTGTGAGACTAGAGCTTGACAGTGAGAGCGACAAGCAACATTTACCTGAGCAAGTTAATTCTTATTTGTCACTAGATTTTGCTCTGTTTTAAAGAAGAGCTGACATTTTGAATCTTTTTCCCCCCCTTAGGTACACACCGGATGGGTACACACACGCACACAGCTGTGAAATGTGGTAGGATATGACCTATTCACGGCACTGTCAAACCAAGCAGTCTTAGCAGCACAGCTCTGAGAGAGTGACAGCCGGGGCAAAGTACACACGACACTGCAGGAACTCCAGACACGAGGAGTCACCAAGTCCATTACATTCAGTGTCGTACCTGCTTCAGACTGTATCAGCAGGTTTTCAAGTACTTTTATCTAAAGAATTTTTGTACCAGTTCACAGGTCGGGAGACAGTGGAAGAAGGCTTAAAAACAATAAACCACCAGAAACAAAACAAACCACCAGGTGAAAAAAAAAAAAAAAAAGAAAAAAAAAAGAAAACAAAAACAAAAAAACAAAACATAACGTAGATGAATCTGACGCATGCAGACGGCACAGATTTAGGACAGTAGTTTGCTAGTCTGGGCTCTTGGGAAGTGACTTCACTTTTCCCGCGGAGGAGGCAGAGAGATGAGAGCTTCCATAGCGCTCTCACTTTCCTGACCACGAAAACAACTTTATTTTTTAAATCCTGCACTGTGCTCGAGTTCCTCTCCTCCCGGAGCGCCACCGGCCAGGGAACTCCGCACACACGGACAAACACCAAACAACACGAACCAGCGGGACCATCACCCCGCGCCCCCGCCGCCCTGAGGGCCAGCGGAGGGGCCACCTCAGGTCACCGGGCACTATCACCCGTCACACAGGGTGGGCCGGCGGCTCCCTCTCCACCCGCGCCCGTTCTCCTGAGGGAGCGGCGACCTCCCGCCTGCGCCCCTCACGACACCCGCTCCGCTCCGCTCGCCCCGGCGGGGCAGGCCCGGGGCAGAATCCCGATCTCTCACCGGTGCAGCCGGGCCGTCCTCCCCGCGCTGCCGCTGCCTCCAGCCCGGCGGGGCCGCGCAGACGCCTCAGGGCCGGGACAGCGTCGCCCACATTCCGGCGGCGAGAGGGCGGGCGGGTGCGCGCGCACGGCTGACACGGCGTGAGGGCGGGAGGGAAGGAGGGACGGCACCCGCCCTCAGCGGGGACAGCCCCGCCGGGAGCCCGGGGTGGCTGGGTGCTCCCTCGGGAGTGCGAGGGGTGAGTGGCCCAGCGGCCGGCTCGGCCTGCCTTCTTGTCGGTGTTGAAGTCCTGTGCGGCCCCATGGGAATGTCCCTCTGAAACACGGAATAGATAGAATGGTTTGGGTGGGAAGTGGCCTTAAAGACTATCTCATTCCACCCTCCTGCCGTGGGCGGGGACGCCTTCCACTAGACAGGTTGGTCCAAGCCCAGTCCAGCCTGGCTTTGGACGCTTACGGGGATGGGGCGGTCACAGCTTCTCTGGGCACCCTGTGGCAGGGCCTCACCACCCTCACAGGGAAAAATTTATTCCTAATATCTGATCTAACCCTGCTCTCTAGTGGTAAACAATTATTCTGTGTCCTGTAACTACATGCTCTTGTAAATAAATTCGCCCTTTAAGTTCCCTTCAGGTACTGAAAGGATGCAACTAGGTCACCTCAAAGCCTTCTCTTTTCCCCGCTGAATGATCCCAACTCTCTCAGCCTTTCATCACAGCAGAAGTGCTCCATCCCTCTGATCATCCTGATGCCTTCTCTGGACTCGCTCCAACAGGTCCGTGTCCTTCCTGTGCTGGGACCCCAGAGCTGGAGGCAGGTCGGGTCTCACCGGGGCAGAATCCTCCCCTGTGCTGCTGCCCACGCTTATTTTGATACATGCTTCACTCACACCTGCCAGCATCCGGCAGACACTGAAACCTGTCAAACTCCTCACCCACAACTGAAGGACAATGGAAGCAACCTATAAAACATGGGGCTCTTTAGAAAAACGACTTAAGTTTGCCTTCAGATTTTGTACCCTGGTCTGGCCAAGTGGTAGATTGTGTTTACTTATAGACAGTGGTTTGGTGTGGTTAAACAAATATTTAAAAAGTAAGTATCTATGCTTAATTAAATATCACCATTGTTTATGTTTAAATAAAATATGTTTAAATTATGATATCTTGTCTTGTTGGATTGCACATGAAACAGATTAAATTTAAATTAACCACAGTATCTATACAGCTTGTCTGTGCTCTCCCCATTTCAGATGTGGTTCAGAAAAATCTAAAGGAATGTCAGATCACAGCCTTCAATAAAACAACTTCAGTTTAAAAGCCAGTGGGCTGTGTCCTGTTGCCCCTGGGACAGTCAGACTGCCCATGTGGGCATTGATTTTTAGTTGTTTTCTTGTCACTGGGGTCCAGAGGTTTGTTTGTTACATGGTCTTTTTTTGAGCTGAACTGTCATAAAAAACCTGTCTCAAAGCTGGCAAGGCAAGCAGGCAAAACAGAGCATTTCACAGAAAAAAGGAAAAAACACAACAAAAAAACTAGGACTCTCTGGCCAGCTCCCCATTTAGGAATTGTTACTATTTGTCTATAAATGGTGTAAATAGATTACTTTTATCACACGCAGATTCAGATAAACCACAACAAGGGAAAGCAGAGGAATTCGGGGAAAGGAGGAAAATTATTTTACTGAATATTACATTAGAGAAATAATATGAAGAAAGTATCCTTGGCACTGTACCCAGCATGGCACACTGGTGTATGAATGTGGGTAATAAACAGGAGGAACTGAAAATCATTATATTCATAACCAGAATTATGAATAAATGGTCATAACTAGTTATTGGAAATGGAGAGTTTGTTCAGGAAGCCTAGGCAGGAAAAAAGAGACATAAGGTACAGAATATACCTTATACAATATTTGTATAATGGCAAAAAGGAAAAGAACAGCTGAAACCAGATGATTTATAGGGGAAGAGAATAGTCCAAATCCAAAACACAGCCCCACACCAGCCACTATGAAGAGAATTAATTCTACCATCCAAACCCACAAACATACAAGCTAAACTATGGAAAGAAACAATTTATTTAAGATGCTTACAAAAATCCTCTGCAATTTTAGAAAACACATTTAGAAAAATGGTTAAGTAATCTGAAGGCTTTTAGCAGTTCCCTTCAAGAACTCAGGAAAAACCAGCAAAAAGCAAACAGTGCCTACCCTAAAGTAGAAAAGGATAAGAATCAGAGGCAAATCAGCTTTATTTTGTATCAGACAAATTACTGGAAGAAAGTATTAAGCAAATTATTTATAAGGCCTTGGCTGATAAGATTAATAACAATCAACAATAACATCTCAACCCCAAATTATGAAATCTTGACTGCAGTAAGGCTTCTGACAATATATCAGCTACTGCTCTCCTAAGCAGGCTCAAGTAGCATTGGCTATACAAAACTTGGTTGAAAAGCTTAGAAAATGGCACTCAAAGGTAGTATCAAGTTAATTTTGCAGTTAGTCTTCCAGATGCTTACATTCCAAGTCCTGAACTGCTTCTGTGAGGCAATACGATAGGGAACATTTTTATCATGTTTGTGGAGGATATCCTGTCCAGGTGAGTGCTGTAATCATTTTGAAAGACCTAACTGGAATTGAACAAATCATGACGAATTGGAACAAAGAGGATGTAATTCAATAAGGTGATAAGATATTGCACACAGCTGGGAATATTAATTGGCTGCAAAAAAGTGAGCTGGAGACAGAGGCAAAGCAGTTGCTTTATAGAAAACCCTGGTTCATGGTAGTTCACAAATAGAAAATGAGGCAACAGTGATTTGTGATCTACCCCTTACCACACACACAGGTATTCCAAGCATCCCAAAATGTCTTGAGACAATTTGGTGTTGTAAAAAATGTGACTGTGCTACTGAAATGTAGGAAAAGGCTGTCAAACACAAGAACAAAATAATTCTTCTGCTCAAAATGGAGCTCAAAAAGCTCTGAAGAGAAATGCTTATTTTTGGGGATCTCCTTTCAGATACAGAGATATCTGGGGAGAATGTAAATGTCCAGGAGCCTGGACAACTTGCCCTTGAGTACCAGAGCATGACTGAATGGAATTCAATTGGACATCTGAAAAGTCCAATTGAAAAGACAAGCCTTCACTGACTTCATGGACCTCACAAACATCACAGGACCCATAGCCCACCCAGTCCTTGCAGACTTCAAAACTCCCATAGTTCTCACAGCCCCCATAGCCCTGAATGACCTCACAAACACCACAGCCCACCAAGATCTGACAGCTTTCAAAGCCTACAGTGCCATATCAGCTTTCACAGACCCTACTGCCTTCACGCATCCCATAGCCCTAAGAGGCCCCATAGCTCCTAGAGCCCCTGTAGCCTTCCCAGACCCCACTCAAAGCTGTGAAAGACCTCACACACCCTATAGCCCTCCAAGGCCCTTGAGCCCTCACAGCCTCCATAGACCTCACAACTCCAATAGCCCCTATAGACTTCATAGCCCAAACAGACATCTCAGTCCCCACAAATCCCACATATGCCCTAACACAGCCCCCCACCCATACACTCCTCCAAGCTCCTATAGCCTTCCCAGACACCATAGACCTCTAACTCCCGAAGCACTCAAAAACCACAAAGTCCTCAGTGTACTTACAGCTATCCCAGACCTCACAGCCCCCATAGCACCAGTAGATTCTAGAGCCCACACAGACCTGTGCCCCCACAGACCTCAAAGCCCCTCTGACCTTCACCACTATAGACCTCATAGTCCTGCACACACATGAAAGACAACAAAGCCCACATAGCCATCACAGCCCCTACAGTCCTCACAGCCTTCTCAGGTCTCACAGACCCCATAGATCTCACAGACTGTATGGCACTCACAAACCCCATAGCCCTCTGTCATGATTTGACACTGGCAAATGCCAGGACCTGCAAGAGTCATTTGCTTACCTTTTTCTGCTACAGCTGGGCAGAGGAGACTGAAAAAGATTAATGAAGGGCTCATGAGCTGAAATAAGGATTGGGAGGAAAAAACACTCTAAGAGCAAAACAGGTTCAAATTTAAAGGTAGAAAGTAAATTTATTACTAACAGAGGAAGATAATGAGAAGTAAAAATAAGCCTTTAAAACCCTTTTCCCTCCCAGCCCCTCTCTCCTTCTCACCAACAGCACCGGAAGACAAGGCATGGGGGTTTTAGTCAGTTCATTACCCGAGATCTTTTTCTGTTCATTTAGGGAGAGGACTCCTTTTTCTACTATGGTGTGGGGTCCCTCCCACAGGCAAACAGTTGTCCTAAATCTGTTGTGGTGTGGGTCACTTGTCCACAGGGTACATTCTTTTAAGGATATGCTCTAGTTTAGAAACAGGGGCCCACTCTCTCTCTGTTTGGGCCTCTCACTGGATTACAGCTTTCTCCAGCATCCACCCACTCCAGCACAAACACTTTTCCCAAGGGCTGCGAGTGGATCTCTGCATCCCCCATGGACTTGATGCATTACAAGGGGACAGTTTGTTTCACCATGGTCCTCACCACAGCTTACAGAGGAATCTCAGCTCCAATGCCTGGAGCACCTCCTCCCCTTCTTTCTTTTCCACTGGCCTTGGTGTCTCCATGTTGTTCTCCCTCACTTCCTCCTCTTCTCTGACTAGAAGAACGGCTGCTTGCAGGTACTATTGCCAGCTTCCACCAGTTCAAAGATTCTTGCAAGATCCCACAGCACCAAGAAGTTGATCTTGTCTAAATTCTGTGTCAGAGAATTGCTTGTTATATTTCTGCTGCCAGACAGGTGGCCCTGCTGCCATGGAGCAGGCAGTGGCGGCCACCGTGGCACTGGCACTATTTAATGCTTCTCTTCATGTGCCAGGAAGAAGCTGCCACTGCTGCCCTTGCCCTTTTTGTCCACAGCACGGCTGGCTAGGGATGGCCAGGCAGCCAAAGGTTGTCACGGGCCACACCGAGATGGTGACAGCTGCGGTGGCACATGGCTGAGCCAGGATGGCCCCTGGCAGCGGTGCTTCACCATCCCTGGAAAAAACTGGCACGCACACTGTTTTGATTTTCTTCTTAAATAGGTCAT